TAGTAGTAGTAGTAGTAGTAGTAGTAGTAGTAGTAGTAGTAGTAGTAGTAGTAACTAGCAGTAGTAGTAGTAACTTAGTACTAGTACTAGTACTAGTAGTCTACTGTCTACTAGTATATAGTAGTACTACTAGTCGTAGTCTACTAGTAGTAGTCTACCAGTAGTAGTCGGCCTAGCAGTCGGCGTAGTAGTCGGCGTAGTCGTAGTGGTGGCGGCGGTGGTGGTGATAAAGCAACAGGCAAGCTTCGTCAGACGGGTATGAGGTGATGACAGGAGTGTATATACTTGCCCCAAAAACCGTCCAGAGTGTTCATAGATTCTGTGGCAGATCCCATGTAGTTCCATGTAGTTTGCCCCTCATGGGACATCGACCCAACAACTTCTGCAGTTCAAAGTCACATCCGCTGTTCTCATTCATTTTCTTCACAACAAAAATAGTGTTCTCATCCAGTTCATACAGTTCGAAAGTATATGGGAAAGTGACTGCCAACGACTTGCAGGTACTGGCGAAGGCCAATCCCACCCTCCGGAACCGCGAGTCCCGGAGCCCTGCAGAGGTGGCACGTCTCGGGACGACCGTTCGACGGGACGACCGGTCCGTTTGGGGCGAACGGTCGACGGCACTGCCTTGACGAACGAAACGGTGAAGGAACGAAAGATGGGTTGGAAAGTGGTGGAAGTGGTTCGAAGGTGTGTTTGTTTTGTTTTTTTTTAACGGTATTGGTTAGTAGTGCATGGTCCTGTTTTGACATTGTCTTGACCAATTTGTTTTCCCTGTTGTCCACTTGAACACTTCGAAGTTCACAGAGTAGTCGTGCAAAAAGTGGATGTGTTTTGGAGATCCATATGGCTACTAGAATCCAGCGATTTGCAAGTTCTTTAGCTGGGGTGGAAAAGACTTGCTGAAGAATCACTATGGTAGCCTCAGATGTACCAAAAGGGTCGAAGATCCAAAAGGAGGCTTCAGAGCAGACCTTTGACAGCTGGGATTTTTGACAGCTGCTTTTGCTGCTGGAAGTTGGGCACAAGAAGTCGAATGTTCAATATCCTTGGGTTTTCTCATCATATATCACTGAATATTGCTCACGTGTCTGAAGTTGCCATTGATTATCGAGCTTTCAGAGAAGCGGTCGCACGACATGCTTCCAGCCAGCAGAAGAAATAGAAGATGCTTCCAACCTCCCTGGCTCATCAGCAGACAAATACAAGCTGATCAGTGCATGAAAAGAAGACAAAGGACAGAAGACATCCCAGAGCACAGCCATCGTTCGTGTGAATGAGATGTTGAGTCCAAGTGAAGCTGAAGTTGCGAAGCTGGCTTCATGTGGCTCAATCAGATCCTTCACGATCAAAAGCCATCGGATATTGAGAACGAGTCATTGGAGGGAATAGATGCAGCCCCGTGACTTGTAGAAACAAAGTATTCTAGACCGTTGCGAAACACTTCTTGGATCAGGATCCGCAACTCAATGACCATCCAACACACACACACACAACAAGCAGAGCAAGCCGAAGCGGCTCTAATATGCGTGAGCTCATGTGGGTGTTGGCCCTGTGGACGCTGTTGCCACCTGTGGTTGCCGAGCTGCTTTGTTGGCCGGACTCAGTTCCGCAGAGGAGCTCCGACTTATGTTTTTGACGTAAGTTTTTCCCCTGTGAACTTTCCCAATGATCATTGATTGGTCCAGGAAGCAAGTCGGGAGTGCGATTGGGCACTGTTCAATCATGTCAAAGGCAAACCGGGTACCGGGATTACCATCAACATCCATCAACCCAGAAGATCACATTGATACAATATCGTGAAGGCAGTTTGTGCTTTGGAGATCTGAACACTCAACAATATGCTTTCCCTCTCTTGATCTCTCTTCGAGCTGCACACACATGGTGTATGGAGTCCGTAAGCTATTCAACCTCCTAATAGCAACACAGACACAAAGCTTCGGCCTGTGATCTTTGGAGCGACACAAAACCCTTGAGGGAGATCAGTTTTGGAGTTTCGTGCAAAGAAGTGCAGAAGACTAGATGTCATCTTGTTTTGAACATGGGCCTTGGCAGCCAAAGCTGTGATCCTTCTTTCCTCTAAGTAACAAGTGCATCGCTACTAGTAGCAAGAAGCTAGCTTAGGAGCAAAGACGCTAATGGGCGCTCCTGGCCTTACTACTAGTAACAAGAAGGCTACGTTCGGGGCTCCTGGCGTCGCTACAAACGGGGCCACTGGAGCAGACTGTCCTTGGAGAGTTCCTTTCAGACTGTCCGATCTGTCTCGGTATCTCGGTCCGAAACTACGGTCCAGGAGCCGCAGCGCCTGGTCGGAGGCCCGCTGTTTGCTCCAGAGCTCTGCTGAGGCCGAGTCAAGCCCAAAACGAAGCCAGGAGCCCCTAGTAGCGTCCTTGCTCCTAGTAGTGAGGCCAGGAGCCCCTAGTAGCTTCTTGTTCCTAGTAGTGAGGCCAGGAGCCCCTAGTAGCACACAAAGGCACGCGGAAGAGACTTTTAAGACTTAAAGGAACCTACTCGCGATGGCCTCCAACCTAAGAGCGATGGCCTGCAACCTATATGAACATTCCTGGCAGATCTCAAGTTCAGACGACTTGTTTCATGCCATCCTAGTCAAGTCGATAAGATCGTTTCCAGAATGAACCATTCAAGTCCGGACTAATTACATCTCATTACTCGCTTTTTACAGGTCAATATGGTCTTTCAAGAACCATGCAATGAGTTTTGTTGGGGATGAGATGATTTGATAAATCTTGGATGCCCATCACAGTCACACAATCATTCGCCAGGTCCCGCGTTGTGGCTGGCGTGTGGCTGGTCGCAGTCCCGCGCGATGGGAGGTACATCAAAGGGTTCGGCTTGACAATTTTCATGACTCTAAACCAAGGTCAACAGCCCGTTGAAAACAAACGTGCTTTCTATCATGTCGACATGAACTAAGGTATGTCACATCTGATCATCTTGTCACATGATTCACATGTTCCAATCAGCAACATTTGTATCAGGAACAAACGGCTATCAGGCAGATTCAGCACTTGGCTGAGGACTAAACTCGACTAAAGCGATGTTTGCTCCCGACTTTTCGCTTTTTCGCAATGCAGGTCTCTGCTACGTTGGACCACCGGGACGCGGTCTGCGACCTCACTTGGTCGCCCAGTGGGCGAATCACCAGCGCCTGCGCGGATGGCACGGTGAGCCTTTGGGAGGCGCACCGAGTTTCGTTGTTACATATAGAAATAGAAATAGAATGAATGTAGAACAAAGGCTTAAGACAGACCTTAAGGAACCTGCTAGCGATGGACTCCAACCTAAGATTGATGGGTTGCGTTGGTGAAGGAAAGGGCACAGATGTGCAGCTCCGCTTCGGAGTTGCTTAGGATTCAATCGTTGCCGCTCTTGAGATGCTTAGTTTGAAGATTTTCCGACGAAGCGCGAAAGCAAAGACCCTTTCAAAGACCCGAGTCTATTCAGAAACAGTTGCAGCGAAATTTGAGGCAAGTATCCGTTGTTTTTCTCTTTAAACTGGTCGGCTTAAGCTTTGGCTCGAAAGGATAGCGTTGAATCATTCATTACACAACGGCCTACGGAGGCCTACGGCCTGCATTGCCAGGGTCGGCCCTGCAAATCACAGAAAGCAGTGAGAATGGAGATGCGGAACATTCAAGATGATTGTCGATTCTGTATATAGCTACCAAACATCATTGATTTCTACTGCAGGTTTCCTCTTCTGGCAAGCATGTTTGGTGAAGCAATACTCATTGCAGTTGACAATCGTGGAGATACCTGCAGAATGTGCCATGGTGGTTTGCAAGGCATCACTTTGCCTCTTGCAACTTGTTGGCACATGCAGGCACATGCTGGCGTTGAGGTCATTATGTGTGTATGTGTGTGTGCACGCGCCTAAGTGACAGTCGACTTTTCCGAGAAAACCTTCCAGGCCCTTGTAGCGGTACTCATGTGACAGTGCCACCGCACACTCGCCAGGCTTCCCGAATCCTAGTACTAGTAGATGGTCGGTAACCTTCCTTCAAGTCCAGTTTCAGAGTTAGTCCTTATAGTTTTCTTGCACTTTAAGGGACGAACAGGACCAACAAGGGTCATTCTGAATGATCCACTGCACACAGCAGATTCCGTCCAAGGCTGGCTGTACTGCTCTCTCTGGCAGCTTTTGCTTTGGAATATTTGGCGCAAAGGATCTCTGAACTGCATATGGAGCAAAGCGAGCACCTGGGCTACCATTTGAAATGCCTCGAAACCCGACTTGAGATTGATCAAAAGAAAATCCAGCCAGCTCTTTCACCATAATCACAGTCTTTTGTTCAAACTTGATAGTCGCATGATCCGTTTCACCATGCATCACTTCCTTCACTCCTTGTCGTAGCGTTTTGGTGTTCACCATCCTCCGTGTTTCCGCTTCCTTCCTCCTCGCCCGACTGGGAGCGCCGGGAACAGGTTGCTCTGCCCGTCGGCCGCCGCAGACTGCGCGCCCCTCGCGGAGCGTCCGGAGCTCGAGGACCTGGAAGGAGTCGCGGTGAAGCGCTACGGGCTCGGTCACGTGAGCGAGACGGAGAGACGGATGGCATGGGAGGGACGGAGAGAGACAGGACGGATGAAGGGTCGAAACCGAAGAAGAGGTGGGAGAGAAGCCTGGAAGAGAGGAAGAAGGTGGAAAGGTGGAGGGGTGTCATGTTTAGGAGGGTATGGTGAGAAATGGTGAGAAGGGATGAGGATGGAGAGAGGGGTCATAGATGGCAGCTTCCAGAAGTGGAGTGTGGTGCAGTGAGGTGGTGAAGTGCATTCCATGATGGAGGTTGAGTCAACAAGCCAGCTATCATGGAGCAAGTCATGGAGCAAGTTCCAGGTGTGTTGTAGGCAAGATTGAGATGGAGTTTTTTAGATCGGACGCAGACGGCGCACCATTCTCTTAAGTTTGCGAACGGAGATGATGGGTCCATTTAGCCAAATGAGCGGAGGTGGCTGTGGTGGTGCCCTGGTTTACTTCCAACATATTCACTCACGTATCGGCAACGGTTCTGACCTGGCTGAGGTTTCTTCCCAGATCTTCTGAACGACAGCCTGCAATCCGAGCTACGAACATACGTCCAGCTGAACTCCCCGGCAGGCGGCAAGGTGGGGCACGCCCAGGTCCAGCTGAAAGTTCCCTCCTTTTCTCTATAGAACCCGGAAGCTGATTTGGGAATGCGCTTTGCTTGAACAAGCGCACTGTGGTTAGAAGACCTTGAAGGTTGTGAACCGAAGAGAAACAGCTTGGAGTACAGCTTGGCTATTCATGCGAGTTCCTTTTTTTGGAGGAGTATCGTAGCCACGGGCAGTTGGAACTAGTAGCATCCAAGTGGTGGATAGGCACATGGCATTACAGTAAGAATCAAGACACATGATGTGTGCATGGGTGACATTTAGGATAGACAATTCACTGAATCACTCAATTGTTGGTTTTTCATTTGTTGTCAACATCCAACTCGATCAGTTTGACCCGACCCACAGTGGTCTGCCAAGCGGTTGAGATGACCTTGATCCCCACTGCACCTTCCCAGGCCCACGAGCCCCGCCGCGTCCTGCTGGACCTGCACGACCTCCCGGTGCAGCGTGCGGTGCTGGCGGCGATGAGCGACGCCCCGCTGCGTGCGGCGGCTCGGTGACCATCCGACGGATGCGTCGGTGGGCCAGCAGGGACAGAGAGAAGGGGTTCCAGGCCTGGCAGTTGCTGGGGATCCTTCGGAACAAGTCAGTACAGAGCAACTGAGAGGGAGGATCCTGGATGGAAGATGGTCTGGATGCGATCGCCAAATCTTTGGGAAACGTGCGGCGGCCGTTTGACCTCTGAAATTGGGAACCTTTTGCTCCTGCTCAAACACTGTCAATTCACCATCATTCGATTCGGCGAGTCGCAGAGGTACAAACAGACGACAGAAATCTAAACTGACAATGGTCCAATAGACGTACCCTCCAGCACACAACTGCTAAAGATTGAAGGCATGCATAGCAGCCATCTCAACATATGTCAGTCAAATATGCAATCCGACGTAATTACGCTACAACCCTGGCGCTAGTAAGGGACACTTCCAGGATTTACATCACAACCGTCGCAGCTCAGGTTCTTGAAGAGTTGCTCGGGAAGGATGCAGCATTGGTGGAGCTGGCCGCCAAGCACTCCTCCTACGGCAGTTGGTCACAGTCATGGCACAAAGATGCCGTGACTTGCACAGGTAATGCAGAGACTTGGAGCTACCGGTCGGTGACAAAGTGGGTCGAAACCTGACAAAGCGTACAATGGATAGTAACCCGCCTCCAACCCAATAACGATGGCATCCAACCTACTAGCGATGGCCTCCAGCCTAGAAGCGATGGCCTCCAACCTATGGCCATGGCCTCCAGCCTAGAAGCGATGTTGCAGAGGTTGATAGAAACCAGGGTCCTGTTTGTGGGGGGTGGTCAGATTTCCCAGCCGATGATGGTTGATGTCTACCAATTCGACAACATCCAACCACATCTCTTCAAAACTGCAGTGTCAAGTGTGATTTAAACGTGTCTTTGCCGACCTGCAAAACACAACTATGCAAATGCACCAGCAATCTGGCATTTTGCCCCACTAGTGTTGCTTAGCGACTGCTTGTTGTTCAAAGCATGGAAGTCAACAGGCAGAGGCACTCAAGCATCCAAGCTAAGGAGTCCTACACTTTGCTCATCCCTTTGCAGGAGACTTGGGTCATTTCTTGAGCTGAGTTCTTTGTGGAGTGGCCTGCAGTGAGTCATGTTTGAACTGGAGGTGTTCTTGGTGATGTTGCTTAGGCTGCCCAATTCACAGGGATCTCCTGCAATGGAGACAACTTCTCTTGCGATTGAAAGGAAGAAGCATGGAACTTTTCAAGTGAATTGAAGACCAAAATTCGTGTCCCGGGTTTTGATCACTTCTGTGCAATGATCAAAGCAAAACCCACCCCTGCCTCCCAGGAGACCACCGGTGAGTCCGGCGCCGAAGCCCTTTGCGTGGGCACCCACCGCTGCCTCCTGGGCGACTCCGACTGCGACGACTTTGGCGACGGCCAGTCCATCCACGCGACGGCCGGCGGCACCGGCGTGTTGATGCACAGGACGGTGGGAAAGGGAAGAGAGTGGGGAGGAGAAGGGAGGAGAGCTTGAACTGGCTGTGATCAGCAAAATGTCTGAGAGGATTTTTGAGTATACTTTCTTTTCGTGTTCTGATCAAAGATTGAAACAGATGGGAGCGTGATGACAGGAAAATTATGGACAATTTGACTGTGACTGATCTCTTTAAACATGCCTTGAGGCAGGGCAAGTAAGTCCCGACTGTCAAACAGTGCGAACGTGAGGAGTTTGTATCACAGGGGCTGCGCACACACCGCAGCATCTGCTCCGGACGCGGTGATGTTTTACATCTCCTGGATGTCTAGTCACTTGGATGTCGATTCTCGGTGCTAGTCAGTTGGTTGGACTGAATACACATCTCAAGTAGTCGGCGGACCACTGAGTTTGACTCTACTGTAATCGATGTCTCCTAGTAGTAAGAATGCTCTTAGTAGCGATGCCAGGAGCCCCTAGTAGCGATGCCCTTGCTCCTAGTAGCTTCTTGCTCCTAGTAGTAAGGCCTTGATGGACAGTGCTTTTGCTTCCTCTTTCCAGAGTCGTTTACAAACAAAATCTGTCCAGTTTCCTTATTTGAAGATTGATCGGGCAAGGTCAGTGGAAACCATGACCAGTAAAGGTTTGTCAATGAGCATGCCAAAAATGTCATTTTTGCGTTGTTACTGTTTGGGCCAGACAAGTCTTGATGCAAACAGCACTATGGAATGCATACAAACATATGCCATGCATTATACAGACTTTTCAGGGCCCGCCCTTTGCTTCAAGTCGTTTTTGGTCGTTTGCTTCGGTGACGTTTCCAGGTCATGGCCTAATGCCACCTGGAACTTATGCCATGCGAAGGGATCACTTTGGCCGGACGATGGATGACATCCTCACAGGCTGGCCGCGTACCGCGTAGTTAGCGGTGGAAGACGCCGCGTCCCGTGTACGTCTTTTGCCTTCAGCGTGTCGTGCCGTGCGGTTTAGAGGTCAACGGCAGGCGAGAAGCCACGTCTAGTTCTTGACAAGACCAGGTCACTGGCGATTAGGTCGAAGCAGAATGCCGGTGACAGGTTCATTCCTGACGTAATGATTCATGCCAGTGAGTTTAATGGTAGCAATCACCATGCCTACCCAAGATGGAGATACTTGTTAGAAAAGAGACTCTTGCAGTTTCCGTGATTAACAGGTGCCTGGTCCCAGAAGTGGTGGACAGTGCAATCGAATGGTCGTGGCTACCTGGATACATTGTCCGTGCAACTTGCTGAGACTTGGAATAAATCACAAAATTCCATGGTCAAATCCATTTCGACTCCGAAATCCGTCAATGGTTCTTTGAGGACAGCAGCCCAGACGACTGGACTGGAGGAATGATTCATGACCAACCACGCAGACTGCTGTGGGTAGCAGCTGCTGCCTGCATGGTGGTGGGGGTGCTACTTGCGCTGCCAGCACTGATAACACGCGGGGGCAGCGAAAAGATCCGCTGGGCGACATGCGCCGGGAGCGTTTGCAATGAAGAGAAGTGAATAAGAATGAATCTATTGCCGGCCGGTTTGTTTCATAGCCTTGTCGTAGTTCCCCGCCTCATATTATGTGGTTTAAAGAAGACTTATCAACTAAGCACTTGCATGCATCCGCTCACCCAACTTCCCCATCACCTGGTTAGCCATCGAATTCACACGGAGGCCTCTGAGCCCAATGCCTCCAGTGCGATTGAGAACCATCCGCCAGCCTCATGGACATTGAAGGCACAACCTTCGCTTCGGAACGGGTGAGACCGGGATGATCGGCATAGTGGGATGATTAATTAGATCACTTCAAAGATGAAGACGGTTTTTTGTTGGAATTGAATGATATATTTTGGTACTTAAGGTAGGGACGGTGTTTTGTTGGGAAACAATTCCGCATCGCCAATTTGGGCCAGCCATGTTTCCCGTTTGGCAACCAACCAACTCCATGTGGCTGCTGACTCCCAGTCCAAAGAATCACACTGTTGCTGGGTTGCAATGCCCAGTGCAAAGGCCCACGCAAACTTCACAATCCAACCTGGAAAGCCAGATGTTTCATCAGCTGGGTGTTTCTTGGAACATTATAAAGCCCATTCAGACAAGCAGATTGCATACAACGCTTCTATGCCTGTCCAAGGACCATACGCTACCTATCTTCACCAGTTAATCTGATATTTCTTTTTCCCAGAGGCGCGACATCTTCAAGGACCCTGATTTTTGCAGATTCCGCCAGGCCCTGTTGGGCGCCCCCTACATTGCCGCGGTGCGGGACCTCACCTGGTCCCCCGATGGTGATGCCTTGCTGGCAGCCAGCACGGATGGCAGTGCGCGGGTTTGGCGGTGCCTTGGTTCGGCCACACGGTACAGCGGTTCGTTTGGCGTGTGAGGTCGGTGTTCTGTCATCCAAAATGGGAAGGAGAACAGCACAAACAGGAACAGCAGAAACCATGAACCCAGGATGTTTTGTCTCCACTTGGTGGTCGTTCTCGTGTTCTGGCAGGTTGGGCGGGAATGCCAGCCGCATCCACGTGGAGACAGCGGAGGCCCCGAATGCGACGGAGGTAGAGGAAGAGGTCGAAGAGGGCCTCGTGGAGGACAACTGGACCAACGGGAGCAACGTGAGTGGCCCAAGCACAGCCTGGAGGACACCTGGAGATGGATGGGGGTGTGGACCCAGTTGGGGCAGTTGGAGTGGAAGACAGGTGATGAAGAAAGATCCTCTTTGGGAAGTAGGTGTAGGTGTGTATGTGTGTGTGTCTTTGCAGCTGTTGAAACGTTGGATGTTGGAACCCCAACTGTTGAGGCCTGCGTCTTAAGTTTGAGAGACCTAGCTTAGCCTAGCTTCATGTTGGGGGTGTGTTAGTGATGAACCCTTTTTAGGGGTGCCATGTGTTTGCAATCTTTTGCATGATTCAAAGCATACTGGTAGAAGTAGAAGCAACAGGCTTGGTTGCCATGACTTCTCTTTTAGTTTTGCGATCCCGTGGACCCAGACAGCAAGGGGTCAAGATGAAAAAAATAAAAAAACAACAACCTACTCAAAGAAAACTCAGACCAGAAACTCAGATTCCAAAGCCACTCAAATGAGAGACTCAAATTGGACTCAGATTGGACTCAAATTGGACTCAGATTGGACTCAAATTGTACTCAAACATGGTTTTTGAGTTGTTTTTGAGTTTTTTTTGAGTTTGTTTGTGAGTTGTTTTTGAGTTTGTTTTGAGTTTTGTTGTTGAGTCTGTTTTGGATTTGAGTTCTTGAGTTGATTATTTTTTGATTATTTTTTGTTTGTTTAATTGTTTCAATGATTTCAGCCCTGTCTGGTCGCGGCGGGATCACAATTTTAGTTTCAGAGATGTGCTCTCGAAGTGTTTGATTGTAGAGGAAGAAGCTTTCTACTGACATGCTGCTTCATGTTACTCTTTTTGCTCGAAGTGAACAAAAGATATTGTTACTAGTAGCGTTCTTGTTCCTAGTAGTAAGGCCGGGAGCCCCGTTCGTAGCGTCCTTGCTCCTAGTAGCGATGCCAGGAGGCCCTAGTAGCTTCTTGTTACTAGTAGCGATGCCAGGAGCTACTGGTAGCTTCTTGTTACTACTAGTAAGGCACTTGTTACTAGAAGCGATGCACTTGTTACTAGTAGCTTCTAGTGTCCTGTTCCATGCTGTGGACATGGATCGGGGGATGTCCACAGGAACGGCACATGCTGCGCCCTCAAGTCATCGCCGACCCTTCGAAACTAGGAGACTCCAGCCTCCGAAAGTGCAAGGTCTTCTGCTGGAGTCGCTTGGGAGATGTGTGGGGTGTTCGACTGGGGAGAAGATGTAAGGCTTGGTGTTCACGGGTGTTGTAGCACTTGTACTTGATAAGAAGTCACCAACTGAAGTAGGTTTTTCAAACGTTCCAAGACCTACGCAGATTGGAAGAGTCCTGCTTGGAGACTTCAGATGTTTTTACGCATGTTCTGAGATACTGTGGGATGAGTTTGTAAGGTGGGAGTTGTCGAAGATTGATCGATACTGCTGTTGGTTAATGGGCGTTCCATTCATGTTGTGCTTTCAGAGGCTGGCTGCTGAGGCTTGCTATGACCATCTCATGGTCTATATCATCAAACCCTCCTTGCAACTGGAGGATATGAACATCAACTCGAGTAGATTCCAGCTCACACCAAACATGTGTATCATATTGTATCATAATCAAGTCATATTAAGTCATTGCAGTCATTGTGTCTAATTGACTCAGCTTTCAGTCATGGAACGGGCTGCTGGCCTCCCGTGACTAGGGAGGCCCTCCTCCCTCCGGTGTCGCAACCGCCAGCCGTTCGCTCGCTCGCAACCGCCACGAGGCCCTGGGAGGTCTTTTCGATGTTGCAACAGCCGGACACGGCCGTCGCCGCTCGGAGCGCACCATGGAGAGGGCCGCTCGGGCCCCCTTGCCGGGCGGTGCTGGGGGATCTATACGTACTCCGCAAAGCTTTCCGGCTTGGCCACGTGAAGAAAAAGGCTTTGTATAGCTTGGACAAAACCTGTTGGCTCAAAGAAGGGTTCATCACCTCAGCCTGAACCACAGTTGATTGTGGCGTGGTGTGGGAAACGGGGAGTTTTGTTTGCAGGCATATAGCAACATCATCCGAAGACAGCTGCCCAAAAAGATGCAAGGTCACCACGTTTTTTCGCAGGGGTTGGTCGCGCGTTCTGCAGCGAGTTGTGTTGAAATTACTGTATGAACCCACCTCGCTCAGGTGGGAGCAAACCAAGCACTGGCACAGCCAACATTTGGGGAAAACCTAGGGAGAGATGTTTGCTTTCATATGTGTTATACCAGTGATGACAGCGGTGAGTGCCCCCTGCATGACTCTACTCTTCCAATGGTTTTCATTGTTGGATGGTCACATCAGGGTGCTTAAATATGTCTTTCGAACGCTCACATTTGCAGCCGAAGAATCAAGTGGCCTTGCCAAGTGCTCAAATCCACCAGGCGGTCGATTGGAGCAGCAATGAGAGCGCCCTGGGGCGAGTGCTGGTGGGCATGTGCCGTGGCTGAAAGTTACGAGAATGCATGTCACACCGCTTTGGAAACACTTCGGTACTAGCGATGGCCTCCAACCATCCCCAAAGTGTTCTCGTGAAACACGTCACTACTGAAATTATTTAAGGCGGGAACGCACGGCTTGTTCCATGAGCGCAGGCTCTAGCGGGAGCAATTGCACAAGCGAAACGATGAATGATAGCATCACTGCCTGTGAAGCATAGGTATTTTTGTTCCGAGTGGTATGACTACACAGGATCTCAGGTGTTTGACCTCATTGCTCCATCCGGTCAAGAGATGTCAAAGGAAATCCAAGAAGAGGTCAAAGATTTGTTCATTCTACTTTCGAGTGAGAAGTCTCCCAATCACTAGGAGCGATCGGACGCTACTAGGGGCTCCTGGCATCGCTACGAACAGAGCAAGAGGACGCTACAGGTCTAAGCTTTCAGTCCACGTGGCTTTTGGGACATGCAGAGCAGTACGTATAGACGCAGAGTACACGTGAGTGGTTGGGAAACCCCGCAGGCCGAGTGTGGCCCTGTGCCGAGCATGGCCGAGAACGGGAACTGGGTGCCACCTATCTAGGCTGGGCATGGGAGAGGCTTGAGCTTGGAAGAAAGGAAGGGAAGAAGGGACACTACTAGGAACTCCTGGCCTTACTACTAGGAGCAAGGACGCTTACACTTCACACATTTGAGAAGTTCACAAGAGTCGTCACCTGGGAGTAGCTTTCTTGTTCCTAGTAGTAAGGCCAGCTTCTTGTTCCTAGTAGCGATTTTTTTTGTACAGAATGTGGCACTGTTGGGTTTCTTTCTTTTGGGTGTGACGAGATCCGGCTTCTTTGGAGGTCTGGAGCATTCTGCAGCAATCTGGCACTCCAGCAAGGCCGGTGTTATTGGGCTTTTTTGGTTGGAATTCGACGGTCGTCGTGTTGGTGACACCATGTGACACCAAGCATAAACATACAGCAACGCCATCAGAAACTAGGTTCGAACACATTGTAAAACAATGCGCTCAAGCTGGCCACAGGGTGCACCGGGGATCTCTGAAGAGTCTCCGTCCATGTTGCCAGACTGTCAGCTTGCAGGACATGCCCAAGCGATGGGCGTTGGAAGCCACCTTTGAGGCAGAATCTGGATATGGACGACAATCATCTTGGATATCGACATAACCCCCGTGTGCCTCACGAGATCAGCGTTCCTCCTGGATCTCCTCGATGACTCGCCACCTTGTTCTGTTGGACTTTGCAGTACGTGTTGGACGCAGCTAGTATCTTTGGAGCAGTTTCAGGCTCACCAAACCAGCCAGAAGTTTGTTTGGTGGTTCTTAAGCACCGACGGAGATGTTCCGTATGTGTCTAGGTGTGGTGTGTTCATTCCTAGGTCCTACGACCCACTGCAGTCTTAAAACTGTTGACATACCAGTCCCGCACCTTGGTACCAAGTGCTTTTTGTATACTTTGACAAAGGAGAGTTTGACCACTGTTTCCTGGGTTCAGAAACCAGCATTTTCCTGCCACTTCCAATGTTTAAGATGTTTTACTTTAAGTATATGTGATAAATTGTTATATGGTGTCTTCAGCCTTTCATTGTTTGTTAGCCAGGGCACTCGTCACCTGATGGTCTCTGCACGGTGGTCACCTGATGGAAGTCGGACCTTGTGCGGGCCTTGGGTGTGTGTGTGTGTGTCTGCAACTCTTGGGTGTGTCTTCGGTGTTCAGCAAATCGATCTCTCAGAATGTGGCTTTGTCAGTACGTCAGTACATCAATCAACTAACTCGATGCCTAGCCGGCCTACTGTAGCCAAGCTTTAGAAGTCAACTCTGGTCAACCCTTAAACTATTCTGAACGGCCTCGGGTCTCAACTGCCTCTTGCGCACCAGACCACCCAGTGAGACAGTGCACAGTCTAAAGTCAAGTGCGTAAAGCTTCCATGAATACAATTTGCCGCCACTTTGCAAGAATGTCTATAGAGTCTAGAGTCTAAAGTTTTGTTGATAGCCAGATTCCCTTTTTGTTCACCTTGTTCTTTAAGAAACCATTCTTTCTCTTCCTTACTAGTACTCCTTGATATCTCCTGGGTCTCCGAGAGGGAGCTTGAAGGACGTGCGTCCAATTCGCTCGAGATCGGTCGCCCAGGATCGGCGCCAGCGACGGCGTCGCACGGATCTGGGAGCTGGCGGACACGGACTTCCATGGCAGCGGCCCGGGGGGGGACGACGGATGGAGAGACGGACGAAGATGGACGGAGGTATGGTCACAGAAATGGAGTGTATGCTGAAGTGTGCTATATATATATAGGTTTATATGATTTTATATGTATATCTACTTAAGCTCTATGGTCTGATGTGTTCCCTTGGTTTAGTACGGGTGTGCAATGGATGGCAAAAGGCTTGTAGATACTTGTAGTATTCGTTTGGTGTGTAATGCAGTCCGCCAACTCCATCAGCAAGCGGCTTGAGACGCGTGGCACACATCGGACAGGGCTAGTTAAGGGCAGTCGTCTCAGTGTCTTGGGGATTTGTTTGTTTACACTTGGAAGCAACGCACACACACACACGCGAAACCCAGCGTGAGCGAATGAGTTTTTGCATCGTGAGTTCCAAGATTCCCTCACAGTCATGGAGTGCGCAATGGCAATAGGAGCAGGATCTCTACTGGCTGGAGGCGCCACGACTAGATTGCTACATGTTATTTCAGGCACTGACATTTCTGGTGCTGCCCGCAACGTTTGCTTTGTCCTGGGTGGGTGTTTGATCCTTAGATCCTTCCCAGTTCATGCGGGAAATTTGCTATCAATTCACTTGGCTTCCCAGGTGCCATTCAAAATTAGACATGGGTCCTTTGGATGGACACGAATGATTCACTTGGTTATGATGATAGCTTCCATCCATTTTTGGTCAAAGATGTGTGGCGCAGGGTTTCTCTGCTCGAGGTGGCAGAGTGGGGCCGTGCGCACAGCAATTCGGCGCTTAAATTCGAGCCCCGGCCGAAGACCCTTCGTTCGTGGAAAACAGAGCCGTTATGAGTCCATTGTGATAACCCCCCTGGCATTACCGGCTTGACGCTTTGTGCTAATTACAACGGATGCCAGTGTAACGTTTGCCTTGCAGCCTTGCTCGACGGGTGCTCCATGCCTTTTGAGCCTGATAGGCTGGTCGCTTTACTTGCTGCACGACATGGTCCAGAGTGGCTTGACCTGATTTCAAAGATTGGTGTCCTTCTACTCATTAGTGCCGTGTGAACAGATCCGCTTAATGAAGCCTTCTCGCAGCTTTCTGAGTTGCAACTCCATATCCATGAGCCACTACATGTTTGCCAAAATTTATGGGAAGCTTTAAAGAAGATCTGGCTGCGCGCAGCATATACCCTTACACATAAGACTGGACATAGTAAGTTTATGGTGCTCTGCATTCGCTGTTTATTGGTGGTGCTCACCTTTTTGATTTCCCCCAGCCAGAAATGGCGGAAGCATGACCGTGTGTTGGAAGAGCTCGCTGCCACCTTGTTGATGGCTAAGTCATTCGTTTGGTTGCAATGCCAAGCCAGGGCACTACTGCAAGAAGGGTGCTTCCTTTGTTTGATCCAGTTAACCTGGCTGCCATTGTGTTTGGTCATCCTCAAAAAGTGCAGAGACTGATTTCCTGGGGAACTTCTTGTGTTGCTTGTGGTCATGCACCGGGTGCGTTTGGCATGTATGTCTGGTTTGGGCGTGGTTTCCAGTATGTTGGCATTGCTCGGTTTGCGCGGGTGTCTCGGCAGCGTGTTTCCGGCTTGGTGTGTCGCCTGTTCGAGCACCTTACTTTGCGTGCTAGACCCGGGTGTGCCAATGGAAATGCTTTCCGTTACGGCCTTGCGAGGAAATTTCAGCTTGCTTCTTTGATGTGGTTGCCTGTCCGTTCTGGTCATGGGTGTGAAGTTCGGGCGCGTGAATCCTTGACCATCAAGATGTATAGGCCTAATGCTAATGTTGGCGGCAAGTGTAACCGCAGTGCCATCAAACCAAAAAAGCGGCGCCGGAGACCACTACCGTGGATGCGCGCTGCTATGAAACAGCAGGATTTGCGCAAGACTTGGTCCAGTGGTTTGATGGGTCAGTGCTTGGATAGGCACATTGTTAGAGGGTTTGATACCTGGCCCTGCCACTCCCATGATAGCTTTCTTGTGGCTTACAGGAAATTGCAACTCCGTTTATTTCTTTCCGGTGGCCACATTGGCCCTTTGAATATTTATTCGGCCCAATTCCGCTATTGAGCTGGAAAAAACTTGGCATACTTGTGCAAGCAGTTGGCCGACGGAGGCAGGTTCTGCGCTGGGCCACCCTGTGTATGCGGTTCGAGGTCCTCCCACCAAAAGGCTACTTGCTGTCGAAGTCCCGGAGCCTTGTTTGATTGCCCCGTGTAAAGCCATTGTGGCCAAGCTTGCTTCGTCTTCCTCGCGATGGCCCTCGCATGTTTGAGCAAAACGCGTGTCGTGGTCGGCAAGAGCCCTAAGTTTAAAGGTTTCCTGTCGCATGTTCGTGCTGCGCAGAGGTTCCGGTTGCGTGAAGCTTTGGACTTTGACCCTACCATGCTTGCTTGGTCGCCAGAACTTGGTGCCAGCAAGCTTGTTTGGGAGCGAAGGGTTTGAAAGAGGTCAAAAGTTCTGTTCAGCAACTTGTGGCAGGTCATGTTGCCGTAAGGGCTTTCCTTGCCCGTGATGGTCGTATTTTGCATGATTACTCGGTGTACTCGCATGACTTGTTCCCTGGCAACCAAGTTTGTGTGCCTGATGACAAAGATAGGAACCAAATGTGGAAAGTTGACATGGCTTGTTATCATGCTCTCTTGCTTTGCTATGCAGTCTGTTGTGAAACTTCGAATTTGTCTTGCTTGACAGTGCATGAAGCCAATGTCCATATACAGCATGTGCTTCGTACTTTGGTGCCCGCCCACTTGCAAGGTTGGCTTGGTGTTGGCTTAGCTTGTGAGTGGATCCCGTATACGCATGGGACTATCAAAAGTAAATGCTATAGCTCCGGCGCGCGTGTGTGCTAAAGCCGGGCATAGCTGTGTCCGGAAAGTTGTTGCATACTGTAGATGGCCTTTCCGACATCGATGGAGACTGGTGGGTCGTGCGTGTGATGTCGTCCTTCGGAAATGGGGCCATGGTTTGAAGTCTCAGGCTTGAAGTATGCCACTAGTAACCTTTTGCTTGATTGCCACGCCCTTGAACATGAAGGTTTGGGGTTGATTTGTTGCAAGTGTGGAAATGCTAAGCCTGTTGTCAATGGCGCAGTCGCGGATGCCGGGCAGTTCTTCGAAGTAGTCCAACCTTCCGCGGCTGTTCATTGCATGGCAAATCATGTGCGATGTTTCTTCTCGGACTCAAACCGCATCTGTCACTGTGGTCCGTAGGAAGAAAGTGCAAGGTTTTCTTGGTGGTTCTCCGGATGCCAGGTCCACTAAGTCCATTTGCTTCCTTTTTCATGACGTGTTGAAGTGTTTGGCTGCGTGCATGTATGTGCCATTCTGCAGCTTGGGGTCTACTGTCATTCGCGTGAGCGGATTACCCATTGGCGGGTTGTCCCGGACAGCTAGTGCGGTCACGTCTTGGGAAGAGCGTATTTGGGTACAAGGTTGGCCGTCTAACTTCGGTTTGCCAGCCGCTGTTCCTGAGTGGGGATCTGCCATTGTGGCGCGGCGTTACGTGGATGATTTGGTTTTGAATTCCAAGCTGTTTTGTGTCAGTTGTTTGGTGGATATGACACATTGCATGTTTTCTGTGCAATTTGATGCGGCGCCTCTGTCCCGCCGACTTCAGTGGCTTGATGTTGTCCTTGACCCTGATCTCTTGGAAGTTGTCAAAAGAAGCACGTGTGTTTTTCCGCCACCTTGGGGTACTGCTCAGCATAAGCTCCGTGCTTTCTTGTGGGTTGGTTGGCTCGTTACCATCAGCTGGGTTTGGACCGTGCCAAGAAACAGAAGGATCTGGGTTTTTGCCTGGTTGATTTGGCCAAACAAAATTTCGGCTCTAGGCGGTTGAGACAGTCAATTTTCAGCATGTGGAAAGATTCGTTTGCTGATGACCTCCATTTTTCGAGGGCCTTTGTGTGTTCCCGCACTTTCCGGTCCCTCTGCCTTAAAGTCCTTTAAGCTTGCATAGAAGCTTCCCTGAACGCTTGCATTTGCATCCCAGCAGTAGGAGCTCCCAAACCCCGTCCCAAGCTGCTCAGGTGATCCGCATCGAAGTGGACAAAGGTGAAGGGTCACGGAAACATGAGCATCAGAGGGAACAGCGCCGTCGAAAACATGGGGATGACTCCCGTGGCCGCAAGCGTGACTCCTGGTCTTCTTCTGCCTCCTCATCCCTGTCTTCACGTAGACGGAGCAGAAGAAAGGACAAGAAGTCCTGCCGTGCAAAGAGTGACCGGGCAAGCAGGCTGGAGAGGGAATTGCAGATGCTCCACGCAGAAAAAGCAGCCAGGGAAGCCGCAGCGGAAAAGGACAAACTCAAACAAGGGATGGAGTCCCAAGTCGAGGCAGTGAAGATAGATCTCCTTGAACAGCTCTCCAAGGTTCGTGGAAAACAGAGCCGTTATGAGTCCATTGGAGGCGCCATAGCTGCCTCCGCCAGCTTGGCCGGCAGAGATCCCGGAGAAGCCAGAGACTGCGGCAGCAGTGTTGGGCCATAGCCGTTTTGGATCCGTCCACAAGGTGAGCGGGGAGGTTGCAGTGAGGCACATGCTTGGTGATATGGTCAATCTCACATCTGAGATCCAAATGCTAGAGCGAGCGCAGGGGCATGGCGTGATCCAGCTTCTTGGATGCGCCATTCTTCCAACGGAGGCGTTCCTTTACTTGGAGCTTTGCGAAGGGGACCTGAAGGGGCAGGTATGGCGAGAAGACGCTCTTGCGCCAATGGTCGCTCAGCCACGGGATGCGGTCTGCCACATCCACAAGCTACACATCATCCACATGGACATCAAGCCTGCCAACATTTTGGTCAAAAGTGGGAAGCCGGTCTTGAGCGACTTCGGGCGCGCCTGCTTGGAGGCAGATGTGTCTGCAGCCCGGGTGCGTCTTACAAGGTGGCACTCGCCAATACCACCCGCCGGAACTAGTTGCTGGCGGGCCCCCGACAGCCTGCATGGATGTGTGGGCTATCGGCATCACACGCTGGGAGCTATTGACTGGTGCTCGGCCATTGTCGTTGGAAGTTCTGGGCGGGCCATTGCCTGCTGTCCAGGAGTGGCGTGGTGGAAATCAATTCGGACAACAACGCTTTGATTTCTTAGCAGCGTGCCTTTGCTTTGACACAGACGTGCGTGCCACAGCGCTTGCTCGCAGCTTTGACTGGCTGCTGCCCAGCCAGCAGTGAGGGTTGAAGAGCGTCCATGCGCACATCACATGCCAGCTGCAAGCTCTGAAAGTGTGAGGCGATTTGTCGCCCGTGTAGCAAAAGCCAAAGCAGCCCCCAGCGCTTGAAGTCGTCTCAAGTTGACTTGAATTCCGGAGAAAATGGGCTAGCAGAAGGCAGACACAAACATGGAGATGGACGGAGTTGTGGTTAAGATACTTAAGCTCCATATGACTCGATGAATCTTCGAACTCACGTCATTCTCCCTTCCAAGTGCACAAGATCAGTACAGCAGACGTTTTGGTCAAGTGAAACAGAGATTTTCTTCCCATTCTCTCCGACTTCCGACGGATGTTTTGTTGCCTTGATGGCAAGGGTAGTAACAGGAAATGTGTTGCATAAATAGAAATACTCTCCAACACATGTGCGCACCCAGACTTCCCCATAGAAAAATAAAAGGTAATACAAAACACGTTGAACATCCTGAAGTGGATGTGGTCTCGAGTAGTTTGTTCCGCCAGGGCTGCCCAGTCTTAATGCTTCAGTTTCTTTCCAGAAACCAAAAGAACGGCTTTAGCTTCTTGTTTCTAATAGCTTCTTGTTACTACTAGTAAGGCACTTGTTACTACTAGTAAGGCACTTGTTCCTAAACCAAAAGAACGGTCTTTTGGTTCGCTTTTGACAATCGTTTGGAATCTCACTTCAGGCCGGCAGCGGTGGAAGATTCTCACAGAGCACACTGTCCACACTGAGGCTGACTGTTGGATGGTCGTTTTTTGATCGGTATGTTAAACGACTTCTCATAGCAAATGAATCTAAAAACCAAATGAATAGTGCGTGTGAACTATTCTGCGTTCGTTCGCCATTACTAGCACTAGCATTTTGTTTCTTTCAGTGGCCGCCCACTCAATTAAGTCAGGGGAAGACAACGCTGGCTAACAACAACTCTTTACCCACAAGGTATCTCAACCGACACCGAAGGCCGCAGACATTTTGTTCAGCCACTCGTCGCATCACACGCCGTCGCCATGAGCGTGGAGAGGGAGGAACCCATGGAGCAGGTCCCCACGGAAAGCTCAGAAGACTCCGAGCGCCACTGGGACAAATTGAGAAAGCGGATGAATGGGTGAACATTGTTCAATGAACGAACGGATTCTTTCACGAAGGGCAAGTTACACATTCCATGTTTGTTAGAAAGGCGCTGTTTGATGAGATGGCAACTTTGGGTAGAGTCTCGTAACGCGCCCAAAAAGTTGTGAACGCATCTACAGGATTCACGCCGAGGGCTCTAAACATTTTCTACCGCCACGACATGCCGCATCATGTCGCATCAGGCGTGAAGATTCGAAAGCTGCCAACAGGGGTGATCCTGCTGGTGGAGCTGTGCGACACTCTGGCGGGTGGATGTGTTCAGCCTTTCAACTGATCTCGTCCATTTGGTTTCTGGAGCCTTCATATAGAATCTAAGTCTAAGTACAAACTAATTGGATTGCGGGATTGCCACCAACTGTGATATATTGTTATCAGTTCACTCCACTGGAAAGTAATTTCAAGAAACAAGAAATGGGCCTTAGCTTCAGCAGCATGTTTTCTGCGGGCAATGAGTGAATGACAACATGTCCAGCATGTCCAACGATCGATTTCTTGGTGTTTCACCGCTCGGTGGCTGAGCGTTCCGCTCGCTGACTGAGGAACGTTTGACGTATTACACCTTGGCTGGGACCCAGTCGCTGGGCAAAGAAAGACATCGGAATAGGAAGTATCGAATGTATGTGACACATTGGAGTTAATTCATCTCCGGACCGTGCACATACCGTGGGGGTCTTCACATCTTCACTGGTGTGACGCAGGGTGCGACACGTTCTTTTTTGGTGATGATGAGTTTGGATTCAAATAGGACGAACAAAAAGCTATTAGTACGTAACAAGTGCATCGCTTCTAGTAACAAGTGCCGTACTAGTAGGAACAAGGACGCTACTAGTATCATCGAGTTTTCCATTGAATAGGAAGAACAAAAAGGTCTATTCTTCAGTTTGGCCTTCACAAAAATGCTCCAAACGCCTGGGAAGCTTGGCCACTGGAGAAGATCGCCATGATGCACTGGCAAGCTGTTTTATTCGAATCAGTGGCCTTTTTGGAGAACAGTTTGGGGAGTGTAGATGTATTTCTGCTTCAACAAATGCCCGTTCACATTGTAATTAAGCACAGTAAGGACCGGCTCATGAATGTCCGAATATCCAACTATATAACTTCTTCATCCCAGGAAGATTTATCTCCAGAACCAGCTCTTGCGGTCGCCATCCACATCCGCAGCCATGACATCGGTCTTCAGTATGCCGCTTGGTTCGTTTCAGTTTGGCAAGTTAGACGCCCTTTCTTACTAGTAGCGATGCCCTTTGCTCCGAACGTAGCGATGCCCTTTGTTCCTAGTAGCGATGCCCTTGCACCTAGTAGTAAGGCCACAGTTGATAGGCCCCTGGCACCCATACAGGAGTTCCCTATGGTGTCGGATTAGCATCTCCTCGAGATAGGATGCCGCGAGTGATGCCGCGATATGACAAATCAATGTGTTTGGTGCTCCAACGTTTAGATTGAGAGAAACATAGAGAAACCAATGAATATGTGTATAGTCACATGAGAAACAACCCCATTTCAAGGTCACCTTCCAACCAAGCAGCTTGCCCAAAATCAGGCCTTAGGAAATTGCCAGAAATCAGGCCTCAGCCGAGGTTGTGCTACTTCTGGTGCATCCCTGGAGGTTTGCTTGCAGACTCCATCGGTCGCTATAAGACCATTGTGGGCTTTGGCTGCATCTATGCACTTGGAACACTGTTAGTGGCATGTGCGGTCTTTGACGGCGTGCAACGCGAGCTAGGCCGGCACGGACCCAGTGAGACTTTTGCAATGTTGATTTTTTCCAGCAGAGAGCAGTGGGAGAAGCCTTGGTGAAATAGTTTTGGCTTCAGACATGAGGCTTCTCAGCTCACAATATCTGCAAAGTCTTCCAAAAACTTCTGACAATCCGATCTGCCAAGCCACATCGAGGATAGACTCCCCTTTGGGGGGGGACAACACCTTGTTTCAGCTGCAAACCTTGGCAAACCCCAGTCCTGTTGGTCATTGCAAATCCACTATCCTTAGGCATCTCTAGGGATGGATCGCCCGCCCGCCCCAGGCTGGCTCTTCATGATTGGCTGCTTCGGGCTCATCGCACTGGGCACTGGAGGCATCAAGCCCAACATCTCCAACTTCGGCGCGGACCAGACACAGGGCTACTACTAGGAGCAAGTGCCACGCTACTAGGAACAAGTGCATCGCTTCTAGTAACAAGTGCCTTACTAGTAGTAACAATGTTTGCTATTAGAAACAAGTGCCTTACTACTAGGAGCGATCGGACGCTACTAGGAACAAGTGCATCGCTTCTAGTAACAAGTGCCTTACTAGTAGTAACAATGTTTGCTATTAGAAACAAGTGCCTTACTACTAGGAGCGATCGTTCGCTACTAGGAACAAGTGCATCGCTTCTAGTAACAAGTGCCTTACTAGTAGTAACAAGAAGCTATTAGAAACAAGTGCCTTACTACTAGGAGCGATCGGACGCTATTTGAAACAAGTGCCTTACTACTAGGAGCGATCGGACGCTACTAGGGGCTGCTGGCATCGCTACTAGGAGCAAGGACGCTACTAGCGCCAGAAGGGGAGGTTTTGTACTCGATGGATGGGCCAAAAGTGGGCTGCGCAGGTATTTGAAGAAGCTTACAGTAGGTGTCTACAGGTTTAAAATGAATTGCAACTTGCAACTGTTCTTGTAAGTTGTGCTTCTGTGAGACGTGAACGGAAGCCGCCACAGAGCTTCTGCAATATCCATTGCCTGGATGGCAACATGTGTTTGCTTGCCAAGCAGTGCGAGAGAAGGCCACGTTTGGTGACTTCGCCTTTTTCAGTTGCCGTCCGTGTCTAAGGATTGGTGATGCGACGGAGCGACAGAGAGAATGCCAAAAGACCTTCTTCTCGCTCTTGTACCTCAGCGACTTTCTTCAAAGGGCAACGACTTTCATCGCTCAATCACAGTGACTACGACCAAGCCCTCACAGTTGATATAAGCTCAAGTGATTCATTGAAGGCTTGGTGCCAGTCTTTTTTGACATCAAACTTGTTTGTTCCCATCCTGCCAACAATGGCATGTGTAGCAGTGGCCAGATGAGTCCGATATTATCTTGTCAAACCTCAACAAGGGCACTCTTCCACAGGGACAACCCCAAACGCTAGTGACATCATATTGCAGTTACTGCCACTGCAGTTGCACATCCTCAGTGCATTGCCACTGTGCTACTACAGCAAAGACCTTGCCTATTACTACTTCTGAGGCATCAACATCGGAGTGCTCATCTCGTTTGGATTTCTGACGAACATCACCACGGGGGGATTGCCAGGTGCGGGGAATTCGGGAGCCAATGAGGGTTTTGTAGCTTGAAGTGTGCAAAAAGAAACGCAAACCGTACGTAAGGACGAGGAGTTCGAGCGAAGTAGCTCCATCTACAGCGGATCGTCGTGAGATTTGTTCCTTACCTTCAACAAAATCATCGTCCAGACTTTTCTGAGAAGACCGATTGGCTATTTGGGGAGGTTTGCATAGCTTGGTGTCCTTTTAGTTTGTTTGGGGTTGGTGGATCTCCACCATAGCATGGAGCTTTTGCGCCCAAGCGGTGTCAGCGGGAGCAGCTCCAGAAGACGTGTTGGCTTTGCTGTTAATCTCTTTTAAGTTTCCTTGGACCTTCGAATAAGCCACGACAGAGATGGAGGTTCTACGACACCGCAGTGGTGTTCTGCATGGCAATTTGTGGTTCAACTGTTGCTGACGACCTCCTGTGACCCCCTGCCTGTGACCACCTTCTTTGTGACCACCTTCTATCCGATGGTCACCACGCACAGGGGTGATCCCCGAAGCCGACGGCTACTCCTTTGCCTACGGCATGGGCGCGATTTGTTTCTTTGCTTGGAGGTTGTGCTGCTCTTTTTTTTCATCGGATTAATTTGTGGCGGACCTGTGTGTTCGATCTTTGCGGATATGTGTTATGAACCTGATGGATCTTTGGGTCAATCTTTTGGTCGATTTGTGGGTGCTTTTCCTTGCTTAGGCATGATGATCGCCGTGGTGCTCTTCGTCGCTTTTACCAGGTTCTATCAGAGACTCCCAGGAGAAATCCTGAAAGACTCCTGGTGGTGGGCGTCGGTTGGTGTGGGGGGTGTGGGTTTCATGAGGTTTCATGGGGTTCTTGCTTTGTAGTTGGGATTGCTGGGAAGTTGCTTGATGGTTGAGTAGAAGACATCGGAGAGTGAATGGATGAGACAGATTCCTGGTCAAAGAACATAAGGCATGGAGTAGAGTACCAAAAAGAGCCCACGCAAGGGATGATGTGGTCAAACAGACTAGCTGTGCAAAGGGTTGCTGGATGCCTTTGGAGGATATCGATAGAATTCAACAACAGTTGCTGGTGTCTATTGCCCAGCAGGATATTTCAACGTGCATGGAACCGGATGTGTATCCACACACTCCACAGAATCATCTTTCGAATCATCAGTTGTCGGTCCTGCGGATGCCGCACCTGAGCTTGAGCAAAAGCAGGAAATGGGACTGGACCGTTCCAGCAGATGCTTTGGCGTCTTGCCTGCATGTCATGTTGGTCGCTCAACTACTTCTTGTGGCTCAACCTGTTGATGTTCTACACGTTATAACTAACTCGTCCGTTGAG